TTAATAGAATGGATGCTGGTGTCGTCCACCCAGCAGTAAACACCAGAAGAGGACCAGCATCGGGCAAACTTTGGGACATAAATTCAAGATACTTCCGAAACACTCAAGAGAAGCTGTCAAGCAAGCTGTTGGCTCTATGGATCTGAGCGCAGAGGGGAGGCCTGGGCTGAGTCATCTCTGTGTAGGGTATAATTAAACTGGATCACCCAGGGAAGAGGACAGGCTGAGAGGAGCCTTGATGAAGGGCAGTTTTTCATGGCTGGATGAAGGGAAAGAGGCTGCAGAAGAGACAGAGGGGGTGCTGCTGGGGCAGAGGTGGTGGGAGACCACAGAAGTCAGGGAAAGACGGCACTCAGGAGGAAGAAAGCGGACAACCCTGCTGCCCTCTCTGAGACGTCAGTCAGGAGAGGGAAACATGTTCTAGAACACAGGAGGAACACCACTGGATTAACTAGACCTTGGGCCAATTTTGTCAAGGCACAAACACCATCCCACCAACTTCTCGCTGTAAAACTTCCATCTTCCATCAGCACATCTCTGCTTGCAAAATAAAGCCCATACTTCTAAGCTTGGCCTTGAGATCCAGAATTTCTGTTCCTCTCTCTCTCTCTCCCCCCCCCCCATATGGAACACTTTGCGAATTTGCGTGTTATCCTTGTGCAGTGGAGCTAATCTTTATCATTCTAATTTTAGTATATGTCTGCCAAAGTGAGACCCGACCAGTTTGTCTCTTGCTTGTCTTCCTAGCCTCAGCTTGCGTTTTGTCTCCACGAGAGCTCCAGGCTGATAGGGGATCTTGTTCAGACCCCAACCCCTGCCCACACTGGCTCTCCTCCCTACCAAACAGCCCCTACATCCCCCAAGATCTCAGGTACCTATAGCTGGCAGCACACGCCTCCAATTCCTAATAGCTTTCCTTAAGGAAATACAGCATCCAGAGTGAATTTTGTCTGTAAATTTCCTCCCATTGGTTCTGGGTGGTTTGGGAGGACATGAACTGAGTCTGGCCTGCCATGGATACTTCATAAACTTGGGCTCTCACTGAGTGAGGCAGGAATTCAAAAGGCAGAGTAACACCTCTTCACCCGAACCAGGTCTTCTGGACTCAGATAGAAAACTGGGGAGCCCACAGGAGTTCTTGGCATGGTCTCTCTTGGTGCACCCCACCACCACCATCACTAGCTCCAAGGCAGGCTCAGGGAGTCTAAGTGCAGAACCACAGCGCCATCTCCTGGCATGACAGCACACTGTTCCTCAAGAGAAAAAGCTGGTCTCCAAGACAGAGAAATGCACATGAAAAATTAGAACTAGGTTGATTTCTAATTTGTAATATTAGCAACATTTTAGAAGATGGTGCTAGTAAAGAAGATGAGCTGGAAATTTGACCATATTTTCTGGAGAACATACTGACAAAACTGATTATCTACTTTGTAGAAGTCCTCTTCTGGATTGATACTCAAAGGAAGTTATTCAAGAGGGGAAAAAAAAATTCCCTGGGTGCAATAGTACATGCTTGTAATCCCAGGGACTCCAAAGGCAAGTTCAAGGTCAGCCTCAGCAACTTAGAGATGCCCTGAGTAACTTAATGAGATCCTACCTCAAAATTAAAATGGGCTGAGGATGTAGCTTAGGGATAAGTTACCCACTGGATTCAATCCCTAGTTTAAAAAAAAAAAAGTTTGGGGAATCTATCTATATATGAAATATAACCATGAAAAACTTTTCTGTTAGGGCAGAGCTAGAACCATTTGCAATGACTAGCTGGAAGTAGGGCATGGTTAACCAAGCATGATTTGACCACAGGATAAAGTACTGTGCAGGCCTTAAAATGACGAATATGTTCATTGTATTAAAACAAGAAACAGACTTCTTGAAATAAAGCCAATTGACAAAAAGAGCACCCCAAATGTTATTTTTGTAATAAAGACTGTGAAGTAGACATGTGCACAACAATAAGCAGTGGAGAGGATTGAAAAAATCTCATAGTCAATGTTATTAAAGGATGAAGAAGCCCTTGGAATTTTTTGTCTATTTAAAGACTCTTTGGTTGATACTTATTTTTATTATGAAAACATCAGCTATTCAGTAAAAAAAATCAAACAAAAAAGGAATTGTCGAGGAAAATACCCAAAGTTTACAGAGCTGAAGACTGTCCCTCAGGGGATAGTAGTGTTAGAGATCTTCTGTAAGGTGTTTCTCCAAAGCATTTTTCCCCTCCTAACACACCCATAGCTCATAATTTGCTCTTGGTAGATGTCTGTGGAGCCCCTGAATGAACACGATGCTGTGCCCACCATAACGGCCATCTTCCTCATTGCCCTTCTGCTCTCCAGAAGTGTCCTCAGCCTATGGTTTCAAGTTATTCACTGTGGTTCTGTGAGGGCCTGATCATACATGGAAGCTGTGAATAACCTTTCTAGCTGCCTACTTTCAGTGTTTCTCCAAAATTAAATCTAAGACCAGCCAGAAGGTGGTTTCCAATGAGCAAGGAAATTCTCACATTTTGAATTCATATATGCAATTGCTTAATCAAAACTAGTTATATGCCTCTTATGTCCTGGGCACATAAAATAGACATGTCACAGGCTGAGTTTGTAATGCTTGGGGTTTGCTTGGAATCAACACCTGCATTTGTAAGAAGAGGAAGGAAATAGGATTGGAGCTAAATTCCAATCCAGGGTTCTGGAGCCATGGAGGAAGATTGGCCCCAGAGTGTCCCTTGCTGGGTTGAAATGGCAGGTCTTTATACCCCTGCCTCATCCAGTCATCAGCTATGTGGGCAGTCCTGGGAAGGATAAGAGGTGTTTTCTGCCACTGAGGCTGATCCCAAAGGAGCCAACAGCTAGACACTTCCTGCTGGCCACACTCCTCCAGCTGACCAGCAAGTTCTTCCTTGAAGGGGAACCTGGGTGGTACATATCTGTGTTTACATGGGTAGGATGTTTAGCATATAAAGTAACTGAAGCCAATATCATTATCATTTGGTATTATCATCTCAGCTTATGCTTCTGCCTGTATCCCAACCCTCCCTTCCCTGCCTATCCCACAGTGGTCCAGCACTTACCAGCCCCAGGTGAGCCACCCCATCCAGAAGGTCCCCCATGGAGAGAATGTTATTGATGGCCTGTAGATGGATGACGAAAGGGGCCACAGGGTATCCAGCAGGGTCAATGACATCAAGGGTAGAACCCAGGATGCTCCTTCTTACCCACTCCTCCCCACCATAACCAGGACTTATCACCAACACAATCCCTAACCTCCTGTGTGTCTGGACCTTGAACTTTGTCCCTGCCTCTATCACAGCATGGCCCACCTGCTGCCCTCATGGGGCCACTCTCTGTCCCCCCTGCACAGAGAGTCTCTATTGCATAGATGCTGCCCCTGACATTATTTCTTAATTATTGCTTTGTATCATTTTACTTTTAGTTTCAGAACTCAAGCAAGATCGGTTGCTATTGGAAATAATTAGGGTGTGACAAATTCAGCTCAACCACTTGCAAACTGTGGGGATTTAAGTAACTAGCATGTCTGTGCCTCAATTTCCCATGAGGACCAGAATCCCATGAGCTGGAATGAGGCTTAAATAGCATTGCGAAGGCACAGAACAAGGTCGCTACTGAAAGATACCAGCTTCAAGTGGAGAACTTGGTGAGGATCAACTTTCTTGCACTAAATGAAGATTCAGAGACAGTTGCCAGGAAACCAGATGCATGCATGGATCATCACCTGGGGGAAGAATGATGATTTCCTTGGAACTTTAAGCTTAAAATGAGATATTTTAAAGAAAAATAAGTAAATAATAATCTGGGTAGTACATGGATATGAAAAAAATACATAAAGGGGCCATCAAAGCTGGCATTTGGAGAAGCATGGCCTATGCCTTGGGTGTTCTTTAACTCTAACTCATCTGCGCTCTGAGGGGAGAAATGCAGCAGACCAGGGAGGACAGCAGGGCCCTCTGCCCCTGAGCAATCAAAGGATGGCTCCAGCTGAACATTTGTTCCTCCAATTGCAGGGGCCTTGTGTGACTGGAGTCCCTGAGGGCCCCAGACATATGTTGAAACCTTCCTCCCCTAGGTTGGTCACCCAGTCTGGCATTTGGTGTCTTCTTTTTTTTAGAGAGAGAGAGAGAGAGAGAGAAATTTTTAATATTTATTATTATTATTATTATTATTATTATTATTATTATTTTTAGTTATTGGCAGACACAACATCTTTGTATGTGGTGCTGAGGATCAAACCCGGGCCGCACACATGCCAGGCGAGCGCGCTACGGCTTGAGCCACATCCCCAGTCCCTTGGTGTCTTCTTCATTCCTCCCAAGATGGCATGTGGAAAGAAAGGTCAGAGACCCAAGTTCTGGGCCCAGGAGCTTAGTTTTTGCTTTTTTCTTGAGCAAGTCTCTTCTCTGCTTGCTGCCTTCCTCTCCCCATGTGACAGGGAGGAGTGGACATGGATTGAGCCCTAAACTCTGTAGGTCCTAAAATCTTCTAAGGATTGTGGTGAGTCCTAGAAACCAGCAGAGGGTGCCAGACCCTAAGGAGCAGATTTGATGCGCTGCTCAGCTCTCCCCAGGGGAGAGAAAGTAGGAAGAGCCACCATGCCCTGGGGAAAGTGGCTAAGCATTCGCTCTGAGGAGGGACAGGACCAGCCCAAGGCTCGAGGCCTGGTTCCAGGCAAGGCATTTTCTCTCGCTCTGCAAATAGCAATTAGAGAAGAACTCTCAACATTCAAATGCAAGATTCCGTTCCAGCAACACCTTCTCTTCAGGACCTCCAGGTCACTAAGATGAGACTTCTTTTCTCTTTCTGCTAACAAAAAGGTTGGGATTTTTTTTTTTTTTTTTTTTCTAGTTAGGAATGTAATTATGATGTTACATTTTTTTATAATCCACAATTATGTTTAGGAAATCACACAAACATAGATCACTGATTTGAATGAAATGCATAAATTTGTAGCAAAGTTTTGTAGTTACAAAAAACAAAAAAATTACCAAAGAATGCACAAAATTAATGTTTATTCCACCTTTGTGTCATATTCCTGGATCCTTCACCAATGTTACATGAGGAAAAACAAAAGCAAAACAAATGGAAAACTGAAATCAGAATCACTAATGTTATCAAGTAGGGAAACAAATAAATTAAAATCTAGCAGCCATCAGCAAGAGTACAGCAAAGATAATGCTGTCAAAAGAAACAAAGAAAATTGCTAGAAAACTGTATGCATCATACTCTTTCAAACCAGCAAAATATGCCCCTGCATACAATGGAACATAAACTCAATTTTTTTCCTATTAAGGTATAGAAATGCAAGTTCTTTTGAATATTGTGGATGGGTAAAACTTGTTTGTAATGGTAATTCTACTAAGCTAATACAGAGTGGGCCAGGAACACATTTATGGATTCTGGGGATGATGTGGACTGTAATTCTTTGATTGGAATAGTGGACACTATAATAAAAATTAAAAAAAAAATGAACACAGAAGTACAAGACAAAGGCGAATGAGACTTCTCTTATATCTGAGTAACATTTAGATGGAATCAAATTTAAATGCAGTCCACTCTGCTTTTGAAGAGGCTTTGGTTCAGCTCCCAAATCTCGATTGCTTGACGCAGTCTCCTATGAGAATACTCAGAAGGTGTCTTCTTAAACAACAAACCTATTTTTAGTGGTGGAGCCGCTCTTAGTAGCTGTGTCTGCATGGGACTGATAACCAATCACTATCTTTGGAGGAAGTCCTAACCTTTCCTTGTATACTCTCCCTATATGTGTAACAGCCTCTCTGTTTTCACATTCAGTAGTCCATATTGCTATCTTATCACCTTTAGCTCTAACATTAACAACAGCTCCACATACATCATCACTGTAGTCATCAAAAGATTCTCCAATAAGGCACAGCAGTGTCTCTAGCCAAAAACGATCGAGGTCACTTCGTCTCTGCTGTTTGTTCAATGTAATGAGCCATCTTCCGCCCCGTTTGTTTTTCTCATCTTCCCACATAGGCTCAATACCATCCTTAAAAAGTGAGTAGTCACAGCCAGGCATTAAATTACTAGACAACTGGATATGGTTGTATAGAGCCCAAAAGTCTTCAACAGTATCAAACTTAGAGATCAGTCGAAGGTTTGCTTGCCAAGTTTTACTTTTATCATTTTTAAAAAACCAGAGTGCCCATCTGTTCTGTAGAGGATGTTTTATATAGTGTTCTGGGTTAGCAACCTCCTGATTAGATTCTGTTTTCTCCTCTTCTGTAGGCGGGGGATTAGGAGTAGGGGTGGTTTCCGGTTCCACAGTCGCCATCTTAGATCGATCTCAAGGTTGGGATTTTTGATTTTTGCAGTACTGGAGACCAAAGCAGGGCTTTGAACATGATAGTCACTGAGCTACATACACCCCCAGTCCTTCACATTTATTTATTTATTTAGAGGTGCTTTACCACTGAGCTACATTCACAGCCCTTTTTATTTTTATTTTAAGATAAGTTCTTGCTCAATTGTCCAGGCCAGCCTGGAACTTGTGAGCCTCCTCCCTCAACCTCCTGAGTATCTGGCTTACAAAAAGTTTTTAAGTGAACAAAGGAAAAAAAGAAATCTAGTATCTGAATGGATAAAGAAAATATGGTATATATACACAATGGTATTACTCAGCCTTAAAAAAGAATGAAATTATGTATTTGCCAGTAAATGGATGGAGCTGGAGAATATCACTTGCTAAGGAAATAAACCAATCCCAAAGAACCAAAGGTCAAATGTTTTTTTCAGATATGTGGATGCTAATTCACAATGGGGGAGGGGCTAGGGAAGAATAGAGGTACTTTGGATTAGACAGAGGGGAGTGAAGGGAGGGGAGGAGGTATGGGATAGGAAGGATAGTAGAATGAATCAGACATTATTACCCTGTGTGCATATATGATTACATGACAGGTGTAACTCTACACCATGTACAGCCAGAAGAATGGAAAGTTATCTCCATTTATGTATGATGTGTCAAAGTGCAATCTATTGTCATGTATAACTAATTAGAACAAATAAAAGTGAATTTGTAATTTCAAGACATTTGAACAAAATAGATCACTGGGGCATTGATGGTGCTAGGAAAACAAAACAAAACAAAAAATCACCTCAAAACAATTTATATGTTTATCAGTAGGAAAATAATTGCACTTATTATAGCCAATGCTATAAAATACAGGCTCTACATATGCTGACAGGGTCAATATTTTCATTGAAGAAAGCAGGAACACCATATTCAGGATAAATCTTTAAATGGAAAAAAAAAATCCTCTAAGGGGTAAATTTCTGGAAGAAAACACAATAAACTGTTAATAAGGGTAGCCTAAAGATTATAGGAAAAGGGAGATTTTTCTTTTTAATATTATACCTCTCTATATTGCTTTGGAATTTTTTCCAACAATGTGCATGTCTTACATTTGAAATGTCAACCCTGCCAAGTAGGTATTTCTATTCCTATTTGAGCAAAGTAGAAAACCAAGGTTTAATGAATGTGATTTGCTGAAAGTCACATAGTGAATACAGCCACATCTTTTGGCTGGTAGAGCTGGGTAGATCTCTGTTGAGATCCTGAAAGAACAAGGCAACATGTCTCCCAAAGTTCTCTGTGGGATCCTGGTGAACTAGGCCTGCTTAGGACATTGTGTCCACTCCAGTTTGTAGGCTACCCAGAGCTCTGTGGGAAAGAACTTGAACCTGGCTTATGAATGGCATTTAAACAAATGCAGCAAATGGACTGAGATTTCCTGAAGGTCAAACTGAGGCAGGGGAAGAGGGAGAGATAGATACGACTGTCCTCTGAGGCAGACATTGTGTGTGAAAGAAATGTGGTAGCGGAGGCTGTACTAGCAGCCAAGCCAGACTGAGATGTTGGAGAATGCTGCTAATCCAGGTGAGAAATGAGGTTGCACTTGACCATCACTGTAACCCAGCACCACCCCCCCACACACATACACACATATACCGTGAGACTCTGGGAAGGAGTCTCTGTAACACAAGGGCATTATTAGGAGCCAGCAGCTGGGTTGTGGGAAACTTATTTTTTTTTTAACTTTTTTTTTTTTTAGTTGTCAATGGACCTTTATTTTATTTATTTATATTTATGTGGTGCTGAGGATCGAACCCAGTGTCTCACACATGCTTGGCAAGTGCTCTACCACGGAGCCACAACCCCAACCCTGGGAAACTTCTTTGAAAGAGCTGATCTGAAGAAGTGCACAGAAAATTTCTGTTGGTTCTGGAGTTGTGGCTCAATGGTAGAGCACTTGCCTGGCATGTGTGAGGCCCTGGGTTCAATCCTGAGCACCACATATAAATAAATAGATAAAACAAAAGATCCATTTACAACTAAAAAATATTAAAAAGAAAAAAAAAAAAGAAAATTTCTGTTGGCCTAAGAAAGTCAGAAGCCATAGAGGCCTGTGGTCAGAGAAGTAAGGAAATGGCAGAGGCACTGGTGTAGACAATAGAGTGACTTCAGCCAATGAAAAGAGAGCTGCAAGTTCAGAGGGCCACAGGGCAATAGGACTGTGTCCCAGTGGCCAGGTCTGTGTGTCAAAGATTCTCAGACTCAAAGAAGAAATTGTGGGGACAGGTCTTTCTTTTAATCAAAGGGGTAACACTTTGAGCTCCAGGATTTGGCATATCAGCTGCAAATGTGGCATATTTATTATCAGTAGTTGAGATACAAGTAAACAGCTCACTTCGGTTTATTTTCATCAATAATTATTTTATTTTAAATCAGCATCACACCCTGCAGAGCAGACATTACAGTTCTCATTAAATACAAGAGGAGAGGGCTTGGGGGCAGGAAAGATGGTGGAATGAGATGGACATCATTAACCCTAGGTACATGTATGACTGCCCATATGGTGTGATGCTACATCATGTAAAACCAGAGAAATGAAATGTTATGCTGCAATTGTGTACAACGAATCAAAATGCATTCTGCTGTCATATATACCTAATTAAAATTAATTAATTAATAAAAAATTCAAGAAGAAATTGAGGCTTAGAACTTACCCAGCTCGTAGAGCAGGGAACAACCACCTCACCTCTCCTACCCCTGGTTTCTTTTAAACCCAGGTGCAAGTAAATAATTGACTTAGTGTCAAGGCTTGTACCTCTCCCAGAGGTCCTGAACTTGCATATAAAATGGGGTGTTTAGGTACTACATTTTTAGAAGGAAATGAGTACATCGTATTAGGCATTGACTTTTTTTTTTTTTTTTTTTGGCAGTCCTGGGTATTGAACCCAGGGGTGCTCTGCTACTGAACTACATCCCAGCCCATATTTCATTTTTTTAATTTTGAGACAGGGTCTCACTGAGTTGCTGAGGCTGGCCTCAGACTCACAATCCTCCTACTTCAGCCTCCCAGGAATTATAGGTGTGTACCACCATGCCTGGCTTAGGCACAGGCATTTCTAAAGTTGTATGTAACATGGCATGGAGGATGTGTGTGACTATTGGACAGCTAAAGTGGAAGAGCTGTTATCATCTTTTCAACACCATTCCATCTCTTCTTATTTTGTAGTAGCCATGCAGTTGGGAGAACTGACTCTAGTCAAGAAAGAGCCCTGATTTGTATAAGTCAAACATGGTATTCTCCCAAGGATGGGGACTGTTTCTAGAATAAGCACATGGCTCAGAGCGGGCAAATGAGACTTTCTCCTTGTAACAACTTTTTTTTTTTTTTTTTTTTTTTTGCTGCTGGGGTTGTGGCTCAGTGGTAGAGCCCTTGCCTAGCATGCATGAGGCACTGGGTTTGATCTCAGCACCGCACAAAAATAAATAAATCAAATAAAAATGTTTCCTTGTCTTGGAAGGAAGTGTAAGAAATGACGGTATCTTTTCTTCTGGATTCTGGAGGGCCCAGGTCATGGGCCCAGAGCAGCTATTGCCTCAGTTCTTGAAGCTGACACCAGAGACGAGCAGAGCTGGAAAAGCAGTGCTAAGAAAATCAAGGGAAAATCCACCAGAGTCCCTGGATTAAATTGGGTGGAAGCCCAGCCTCGTCCTCAGTGACCCAGTGAACCAATAAATTTCCAAATTATTTAAACCCAGTTGAATGGAACTTTCTGTTACATGTGTCTGAAATCATCCTCAGTAATATTGCTTGCCTTCTGAGAGATGTCGTCTCAGCTGCAGCATCCACCACCCATGGGGCCCTTGTTCCTGAGCCACACAGGTAGTCGTGTTGGTCCCCATTCTGGTCAACTCCTTCTCTCTCCCTCCCCTGTCTGTCCCACTCTGGATCACAACACAGACGTTCTTGCTGCCTGGGTGCTATGCTAGGTCACAGGAAACTTCCCAAGGTTTCCAAGGCTTGGGATGATCCTGTATTGCTCTTGGTACTAGGATGCTTCTGCTATTCCCACACCCCAGACTCTGCAGCGCCTTCTACTCTGAGCACCATCCAGGAAGTAAGGCGTGATGGGTACATGGACCAGAGGCTGAGGGTGGAGGGCTCTCCTTCAGGGCCTCCCATCTGCTGCTCCTCTGTTTCCTTCTGACTTTTCTCACTACGCCCCAAAGAAAGGGACCTTTAATCTCCTCTTGTTTCATGTTTATTCTGCTAAATCTTTTGTGTTTCTTCTTAATCCCACCTGTTCTGTTCTTTTCCTTTGCTTCAATTTCTTGCCTTCTTTTATTGACTAACTCTGGTTCTATTCTTTTAATGCTTTTCCTGGGTGTTACAGCATGCGTGATTAACATATCAAAATCTAAAGCAAATCAAAACCTTTTGCTCTTTGCAGACAACATTAGATTTTTCAAATACTTTAACTCCATTCTCCCCTATTCTTTTAATTTTTTTTAGTTGTAGATGGACACAATACCTTTATTTTATTTGTTTATTTTTATGTGGTTCTGGGGATCAAACCTAGTGCTCTACCACTGAGCCACAACTCGGCCCTCCTGTTCTTAATTTATATGTTACTGTTGCCAATATTTTAATTCTGTAACTTCATAGGACATTATAATTTTATTATTTGTATTTATTTTTTGTTTTTATTATATATTTATTTTTTCAGTGTTAGGCACTAAGCGTGCTAGGCAAGCACTGTGCTACTAAGCTCTACCCCCAGCCTCCTCTTTATTCCTTTTTAGAGCTCATATCTACCATGTAAGATGGCTTTTCTCCTCTCTGAAGCATATACTCCAGAATTTTCTTTACTGATGTAATGAACTCTTTGTTTTTATTTGTCATAAAATACATTTTTTAATCTTCTTAGTAAATTTTCTCTTGGTATAAAATTATAAATTGGGAGACAGGCATGGCAGTACACACTTGTAATCCCAGTAACTCAGGAGGCTGAGGCAGGAGACCACAAGTTCAAGGCCAGCCTCAGCAAGTTAGCCAAGCCTTGTCTCAAAATAAAATGAAAAAGACTGGGGATATAGCTTAGTGGCAGTGTACCCTGGGTTCAATCCCCAGTACTCTAAATAAATAGAATTCTAAGTTGGAGATTATTTGCAGCACACTGAAGATATTCTACTGCTTTCTGATCTCCACCTTGTATTGAGAAGTCAGCTATTACATTGTCGTTATTTTCATTTAATACATGAAGAAAATGAGGCTCTTTGAAAATAACCTGTCTTTTTCTCCTGCTGCTTTAAAATGTTCTCTCTTTGTCTTTGGTGCTCTGATGCATGATGTTTCTGGTAGGCTTCTCCTTTATTTCTCCTGGCATTCGTAGACATTGTAATTTTTTTATCAGTTCCAAAAAACCTCAGCTAATCCCTCAACATCATGCTCTGCTCCATTCTCTCACTACTCTCCTTCTGGAACTCTATTGAAATTTGCTTTAGTCTTTTCTACTCTCTAACTTTTATTCTCCAACTCTCTTTCATATGTCTTTTGGATATACTTTCAACCCTCTGTATTACACTCTAGGTAACCTCTTCCGACCCAATGTTTAATCTTCTTTTTAATGCTACCTAAAATATTGTTAAATTCATCTGTTGAATTTTAACTTATGTGTTTTTCATTTTTTGAACCTATACTCACTTTTTTTTTCAAACTGAAAATCTGTCAAGCTGCCTTTTCTTCTCTTTTTTTTTTTAACTCAGGGGTGCTTTACCCCTGAGATACATTTCAAGCCTCTTTTTATTTTTTATTGTGAGACTGGCTCCCTAAGAGGCATAGGGCCTCACTAAGTTGCTGAGGCTGGCCTTGAAATCACAGTCCTCCTGCCTCAGCCTCCTGAGTCACTGGGATTACAGGCATGACCCACTATGCCCAGTTTGCTAAGCTGCTTTTTAGTTTGCTATTTGTGCCATACTTTTTTCAGGCTTGCCTTATATTTCTTTAAACATAGTAAGTATAATGTTATGTATAAAAGGTCTGATATTTCCAGTTTCTGAAGTTTTTATAGGGTTGCTCCTGCCATCTTTGTGCTGGTTCTTGTTCATGGTTCCTTGTTTCTTTATGTGCCTAATTATCTTCAACAATGTGATAAATATTTTTGGAATAATCTGTGATTTTTGGAGAAGGTAAGTTTCTCCAGAGAATATTTATGTTTGTTTCTGTTGAGCACTTGGGTTATCACTGATGTAGTCCCACCTTACATCAAGTTCAAGGTTTAATATTGTCTGGACATTTACCTTGACTGTCAAGCCACATAAAAGCTAGTTTGCTTCTGGATGCACTTGCTCTGAGGGTGCAATCCTTTTGAGATAACTGCTTTCTCAACTTGCATGGGTTGCTGGACCCCCATCTAACGGCTCTTGCTAGAATTGGCAGATGCCCTAGAGCAAAAGTCACTTCTCACCAACGTTCCTTTCAGTTGGCCCTTATCTTATTTTAGAAAATGCTCTTTATATTTTATCCAGTCTTTTTTGTTATTCCTAGTGGAACATGTTTTCTGAATAACCTAATCTTCCCCAACTCCAAAATCTTTTACATCAAAGGTCTTCCATTTCTTCCAGAAGACCTCAGAAATGCACAAGCCAGAAGGTGCTCCTCTGCACTGTACTGTTTCTTTCTGGAGACAATAAACTAAGACATTCCAGTTTGAATGAGAAAAATCAATAAGTTAGAAGAAAGTACTCACTTCCCAATTTTGTTCCTATTTTTAAATATTCTTCCATCACATATGTAAACTGCTTAACCTGGTGTCCAGCACACACTTAGAGCTTCTGGCCACAGTGAGTAGAGCATTGGCAGAATTAGTCAAATAAGAGTGAATCCTGGCACTTATACTGGAATTAATAGGAACTCTTTCCAACTCATTTGAAGTATGAAGATATACTATTTACAGCTCAGTAAATATTTATTATTGTTTCTATGCCCAAACTCACCATCTTTATGAAGTCTTCCTTCAATAACCTTGTTCCATTTCAATCTTCCTTTTATTCTATTTTCTTCAAGCACCTTGTAAAAGTCCCCATGACAACCTTCTGATTTATTCTAATTGCTTTCTCAAATGGGCACTATTTCTTGGTTACAACACTTTCATCTGCAAATGACCAATGACACACTTCAAATTTCTTTAAACCAACCAATAATCAAACGTTTCTATTGGTTTATGTAATTGAAAAAGCCCAGCAGTAGGTCTTCAGGTACAATTTAATCCAAGGATGCAATGAATGCCAGGAGGATCTGTCTTTCCCCATCATATCATGACTCTTGCCCATGGATTGGTCTTTATTATCTGCCCCGCTCTCCATAGTAGCCCCCAGATTCTCCACACTATACCCTCCTACTTCAAACCAGTTGAAAAGAGTTCCTATTAATTCCAGCAAAAGTCCCAGGATTCACCCTTATTTGACTGATTCTGCCAATGCCCCACTTATTGTGGCCAGAGGTACTAAGTGTGGGATGAGCTTAGTCTGAATTGGAGGTCTACTTCTTGGAACCCACCCATAGCTGAGCCCTCCAAAAATCAAGTGCTCTGAGATCAGGGAACTTGGGGTTTTCTGAAGAAAATCTTAGAGGTGTGCCAAAAAAGGGGCAAAAGGATACTGTGGGGGCGGGGAGGCAAAAGTACCATCTGGGCACTACCATCCCCAGCAGCTCACAGGAAAAGCTCAGCAATGGGCCTGTGGACCAACGGAAATCTGTCACCGAGGTGCTGGTTCTGACCAGTCCACACATGCTGCTGTGTCCAGCACCCCCAGGAAGGATGAGCTGATGTGTCTGGGCCACTGAACAAAGGCTACTCTCACAGCCTCTCAACTGCTCTGGCAGAAGGGGACCCCATCTGTGATTTGTCAGTACATGGTTTCGTCCGGGCTACTCCCTTGGCCTCCTTAAGCTGTTTTTCTCCCTCTGATATAAAAATAACACTTAAACAGGATCCCCAACTCCATGTACTAGACAAATCGGCTCTCCAGAGGTGGCAGCCAAACTCACCCTAGAGTCAGGGTGCAGGGTCTTTATTATCCACACAGTCTCTGAGGCAGTCATGAAGCAGGATTTCAAGAAACATAATATCATGGCCAGAGGTTAAAATCAATCACCCAAGAAGTATACATTTCCAACTGAGGCCAGTATGTTCTGCCGATTTGCCTTGCCAGAGGCGACAGGTGGGAGTTGGGCTGGCAGTGAGCAGGTGTGGGAGATGGAGAGGCAAAGGGCAGGGGCAGGGCAGGGGCAGGAAGGTCAGGATGGAGCACTCTCTTTAAACTAGCAAATCATTCTGGTCTCAGTGCTAAGCAGCACTGATGTCTGACTCCAGCCGGAGCACACCTCCGACTCTGATGGCAGTGTGAGATTGAGATGACCCCTAAAGTGCTGAAGCCCTCCCATGCCTGCCTGCCTTTGGGACCTCTGAAGTGGAGGTCTGGGGTCACTGGGAGCAGGTGGCAAGGTAATAACAATAGTAACCACTTACTGAGCACATATTACATGCCAAGCCTGTGCTCCCCCTAAAGTTCAGTGATTACTTATGGGCACTGGAGTTCAGAAACCCTGGATTTGATTCTTGGCTGCATCTCACTAGCTTTGATACTTTGATCAAGTTACTTCAATCTATTTATGCCTCAGTTTTCTCATCTGTAAAACTACAGTAATAAAATCATTTCACAATGTTGCAAGGGATTACGTGGGATACTGCCTAGGATGTGTTCAGTGTTCTCTATAAATAAGGGTCAGTATCTACATATGTAAATTCTGGTGCTACACCAATCCTGCAGTGTAAATGGATTAATTAGAGAAAGATGCTATAGCAAAGGTCCCACTTGTCAGTGGCTTACATAAGACAGAAGTTTATTTTTAACATAACAGTCCAGAAGTAGGTGGGGGTGGGGGAGGATTATGATCTGAATGTGTCTCCCAAAAGTTCATATGTCGGAAATATTTTTAAATGTTCTTCTTAGTTATAGATGACAGTAGAGTTTAGTGTGACATATTTATACCCTATGTTGGAAACTTATCTCCAAAATAACAGTGTTGAGATATGCTGCCTCTAAGAGGTGGTTAGGTCATGAGGGCTCTGGCCTCAGGAATGGATTAATGGTGTTTTCATGGAGTGGAAAACATTTTCTCAAGAGTGGATCTGTTATGAACAGATTGCCCTCTCTTTCTCTCTCTCTCTCCATGCAGGCTCTTTTGCCTTTTGCCTTCTGCCACAGGATGATGTAGCAAAAGGGCTCTGCCAGATGTAGACCCTTGATCTTGTATGAAATAAATTTCTTTTCTTTGTAAATTACCTAGTTTGTGGTATTCTGTTATAGTGACACAAAACTGACAGAGATAGGTAGGCAGGCCATGGTAGGATGGGGAGGTCCTGCATCTTCTACCATTGGGTTCAAATATTTATTGCAGGAATACTCTGGATTTGTATTCTTCTTATTCTCCATAAGGTGGTGGCAATCTTGAAGCTATTGGAGAAAACACACGTGGGTGTAAAGGAAACTCCCTTCTTCTGATGTCTGCCCACTGAGCTGGTTCCCACTGTCTGCTGAAAAGGATGGGCTCGAGAATGGGCTGGGAGCCCAGGTACCACCTTCTTCCAAAGGTAGCCCTAGTGCCAGCTCTTGTAGAACTTTGCTAGAAGCAGTAAGTTACAGCCAACATGCACCAGTGGTCTCAGTGTTTCCTACCAGTTTCCATGAGTTACAGGTTCTCTGAACCATCCACAAGGACACACGATGCAGTGGACCCAGAGAGCCCACACCTCCAGCTTCTGCCCACTGCCCCCTTATGCTCTGAGTCACCTTCACAGGCACAGAGCAGACTCAGCTCACACCACTGCCATGCTCCATTCTCTGTGCTACTTCCTGCAGGGTCAGAAGCAGGGCCTCCTCTTCCGGGAAGTCTTCCCTGACTATTATCCAAGTTGCATTTCCTTACAATGCGTGTCCATCTCAGTAGAGTTGAGCTGGTATTCACCCAACTGTTTCATAAGCAAATGTTATTCATCTCCAGTTCAACTGTGGGCCCCTTGATGGCCAAAATATGTTGGCTGGATGTGATGAAAAGTCTGTTTTGGGGACAGACAGACCTGATTCCAGCTTAGGCTCAGTCCTTTGCTTGCCAATGACCTTGGGAAATTTTGCTTGATTTCTCTGAGTCTTTTCCTATGAGCATGAAGATGAAAATCATGAAAAGGGAGTTTCTTTTACACCCGCGTGTGTTTTCTCTAATAGCTTCTGTAACAGAGACTGCCAGTTGCCTCCTAACGTCTGTTTCTTTTTTTCTTTAGTAATAAAATGGCTTGAGTTTCAGCTGAAAGGGCTGCTGTTACAGTTTGGATCTGCATCTGGAATGTTTCACTAAGGCCCATACATTGAAGGCTTGATCTCCAATGCAGCAATGTTCAGCAGCAGAGCTTTGGGAAGTGATTGAATCAGAAGGACTTTGACATCATCACTGGATTAATCCATTGGTGGATTCACAGCTGAACGGACTATTGGGAGGTGGTGGAGACTGTAGGAGATAATCAAAGGGAGTGGTCCCTTGGAGTGTGCTGTTGGGGATTACATCTTGTTCCCAGCCCCTTCCCCCTACCCCACTCTCTCTCTCTTTCTCTTTCCTAACCACTATGATGCTCTGCCTCACCACAGGCCCAGAAACAACAGAATCATCTGACAATGCTCTGAAACCATCAGCCAAAATGAATCTTTCCTCCTTTATGTTGTTTTTCTCAGGTATTTTGTCACAGGAATGAAAGACTGCCTGACACAGCTGACCATAATAAAGACTTTGATTCTCAACATCTCTTGAAGTGAAGTTGTGACCACCTGACCAAATTCAGCCAATGCAATGTGAGTGTAAATAATGGTAGCAACTTCCAGGTTAGGCATTAAAAGAAAAAGTTTCCCCTTTCCTACTTGGAATGCTCATGTAACACCAAGAGCTAGAGTAGCCATGTTGTGCCCAAGATGGAAGATGCTTGGAAGAACCACTCTATCAGCTTCTCAGTCTGCAAACTAATGCAGAATTTGATATTTGGAAATGGTACTGCTTAAAATCCTAAAATAAGTGTCAGAGGATTAGAGATTGAACATCAGACAAGGATAAATATTGCCTGCTGGTGAGCTGTGGACCATTGTTGCATGTCTGCAAAGTGCAGGGAATATCTGTCATCTGTGATGCCTTGATAGATCATATGCTGGGGGTCTGTCCATTGTATGAGATGTCCCCATTAGCTGTGCCTTGGAAGTTTCCACCATCAGGAACCACAGAGAGACAGGCTCCAGGGATCCTGTGCTATTTGAGACCCACAAGAAAAGGTAAAGTCCCCTTCTTGCTCTGTTCTCCTCCACCCTCCCCGCAGACAGTGTAGGTACTCCTAGGGAGGGAGGGAAATATGCTTAATAAATTCAGCAAGAAATCCAGTAGTCCATTACTGAATGTCCACTCCTGAGCCAAGGACTGGGATGGAAGAGGCTGGAAGGAGGAAGGGAGGGGGAGTGAGAAGGGAGCAGGAGCAGCTGGGTCAGCTTTCCTGATTTGGACGCTGACTCAGGCTCCTGGAATGCCAAGGAAGGGGGTAGGCAGCCACCAGAGCCAGGCTGGGATTCCGTTGGCACCAGGAGATATAAGGACAGTATACACAGCGGTGGGGGCTGGGGCTCTGGAACACCCAGACATCTCCTAATCACAGGAAGACACCAACAGGTGTTTCCCTCTGTGGACAAGCCTGGGCCCCAAGCCCTGAAGCCCACCTCAAGCCTTGGAGGTGACCTGCAGAGCTCCCCACCTGCCTGACCCACCCACTCCACCTCCTCCACCTGAGAGAAGGAGAGGATCCCAGACTCAAATGGAGGGCATCATGGCATAGACGGGCTGCTCTGCCGGGATCACCCATGAGCTCCCTGCCTTATCCCCAGCCTGCACAGTGGCCTCCACTGGTTCTTTCTAAGCCAGCATCACCCCCACCAAAATTTGTACTGGGAAGAAAGTTAAGCTCAATAGCCTCCACTTTCAGTACTTTGGTGCCTGATAAAGCTGAGTGGGGCCCTGGGACTGCAAGAACCCAACTTCTCCTAGTGCTCATGCCCCCACAATATGCCAAGCCGCTTCCTCAGCAGCAGGGTCCATCTAGCTTGTCCTGGGAGACCTGGAGGCCACCAAAGACCAGGCACCAAGACTCACAGGTTCGCCCCTCGCCTCCCCAGCCCGCCCCCAGGCTCCTGGGCTGGAGCAGCTGCGGGTGGCCCCCTCCCTCCCGGCTGCCTGACACCCAATCAGAGAAACCGATCCCGGCAAGGCAGGGCGCCAGAGGCCTGGCCCAGAATAGTGCTGCCCAGCCGGGGAATCGGCACTTGCTCACGGTTGGTTGGGGCCTGCTGCATGGAGCCCGAGCTGGAGCACGCACTGCGCAGGGTACTGGGGTCCCAGTGGGGCTGGCATCGGGGCAGCAGGGCCCAAGGATCGAGAGCACAGAGGGCGCCACGTGTGAATGTGTGTGTATGTGTGGTTGTGTGCGTGTGTGCTGTTTGGTCTACACTTTCTCTGTGTGAGTATGTTGGTGCCTGTGTATATACATAGTGTATGAGTGTGTATAAGTCCTGTGTGTGTCTAGGAGTGGTTGGATGTTTCTGTGTGTGTGTGTGTGTGTGTGTATGTGTGTGTGCCTATGTGTACAGTGAGAGGGAAGAAGACCTGGGGTTCGGGAACCCGAGGCTTTTTTCCCACCCCGTCAGACATTCTTCTCCCCATAGACCCTGTCCTGGAGCAGCCTAGGGGAGCCTGAGCACCAAGGTAGGTAGACTGCCCCCTTTCCGTGGGTCTGCATCCTCTCCCACTTCCTTTGTCCCCCACATTTCTGGTATGCCAATTCCCAGCCCCTAGCCTGAATTTTGTTGGGAGAGGTTCCTTCTTCCTCCTCTGCCCAGTGTGTTTCTCTCATCTCCTAAACCCCACTCCTGACTCTACCACCTCCTAGCTGTGTGATTGTGGCAAATTGCTTAACCTCTCTGAATGTCTGGTCCCTTGCACGTAAAATAGGGATGATAATAATGCCTCCCTTATATAGCTGGTATGAGCATAGAATAAGAAATATGATGGAGAAAAAGCCCCCTGGAAGTTTGCCAATAGTGTTATTAACAACATTTTAACTGATTTTGTTGTACTACCCACTTAACCAAACAGGCCCTGTTCTCCCTTCCAGAGATGAGCTTCCTAGAGCAAGGAGACAGTTCCTCATGGCCTTCACCAGCCATGACCACCAGTTCAGAAATAATCCATGGGAAACGGGGGGCCAAGGCATCAAGATGGACAAGGCAGGAGGCTATGGAGGAAGGAGAACCACCAGATCTGGAAGAAGGTAAGGCCAAGGCCAGTTCTGGAGAGGTGAGAGCCAGGGCAGTGGGAAGCCCAGAGCCTGGGTGGCGGGACTCCATGGATCCCTTCCTAACACAGAGTTGGGCCCAATCCTCATCTTGTGACCTCTGTCTCCCCACACGGGAGAGAACAACTGCAGGGCAGAGCCAAGGGCCCTGTGGCCAGCTAGGACCCACAGACAGCGCAGCCACCTGGGTGACTCGGCTTCTCCACTGCACTATGAAGTCACAGCATCCAAGCTTCCCAAGGCTGCCACGAGGTCACCGAGACAGCTGATGAGAACGTGCTTGAAGATGGAGCTACTATCTTATCCCCCTTCTCTTCCCATCAGGTCCCCCTTCCAGGCCAGCTGCTGAGTCCACCGGGCTGGAGGCCACATTCCCAGAAGCCACACCCTTGGCCAAAGCTGCTCCCTTGGCCCGGGTGGGCACCCCGCCCACAGGGTGGGAACTCTTCCCCCAGCACTCTGCAGCCTCAGCCGCCAGCTCCAGCACAGATGATCTGGAGCTGGCCATGGAGTTCCCAGCCCCAGAAGCCTGGGGCTTCGAACTTGAAGGCCCTGGGGAAGAGAGGCCTGCCCCATGCCCATCGCCACAGGCTCCATTACTCAGCCTGGGCTGGGAGGACGAGCTGCAGAAGCCTGGGGCCCAGGTCTACATGCACTTCATGCAGGAGCACACCTGCTATGATGCGATGGCAACCAGCTCCAAGCTGGTCATCTTTGACACCACGCTGGAGGTGAGACCCAGCTTGCCACACCAGAGCTCGGTCTCCATGCTCAACGCCATCTTGTCACCACCATTCATACCCTCCAGCATGCCCTTGCCAAGTCCCCTTCAAGAGCTCTTTAGCACCACGGAGCCCAGTGGGGAGAGGGAGGGATTCTGTTCTTTGGGAGCATCCCATCATCCCAACTCTTCAATTTCACTATCTACAAAACTTTGCGTTGATCACTTTATCTCCATTATCTTGAAAATGGAGATCAGAATGCCTGCTTTGCCCCCTGTGTTTCAGAGTATCAGGACAACCCAGTACAAAGTGAAAACAAACTTTGAAGTATGTCTAAGACATTACAGAGTTGCTTAGGAAAGAAGAGCAGGAGACTCTTGGTAACAGAAAAAATTAGAAGATCTCTGGTACCTGCTCTTTCATTAGATTAAGCTACCAAATGTCTGTGGTTCTGTTTTTTTTTTGTTGTTGTTGTTGTTGTTTTGTTTTGTTTTTTTGGTACTGGGGATTGAACTCAGGGGCACTCAACCACTGAGCCACATCCCCAGCCCTATTTTGTATTTTATTTAGAGACAGGGTCTCACTGAGTTGCTTAGCACCTTAGCACTTTTGCTAAGGCTGGTTTTGAACTCATGATCCTTCTGCCTCAGCCTCCCGAGCCACTGGGATTACAGGCGTGCACCACCACGCCTGGCTGTGGTTCTGTTCTTATTACTGGTACCATCGAGCAGATAGTATATGTAAAATGCTTAAAGCATGGTTTGTATGTCACCTACAGTACACGATTCGGTTCTAGTAGTTCATGAACAAATACTTTCATTTCAATAGCTTTGTATTTATTTTAATGTGTATTAGAAAAATACAACCAGCATGTACAGAGTGTATTGTTTAATATGAGTCAATTTATAGTTTATTCAGAGACAAAAACTATGTAAATATTATGTAAATAATTCTATCTCTAGTACTTATTTAGATTAGTAAAAAATTATGCTTGTGTCTGTACATGCATGATTTCCAAGTGGAGACTCTGAATTAGGGCTTCTAACCTGCAGTAACTGCTGAGGGTCTTCCTGTACCTCCCGCCACAAGCAGCCTTGTCTATAATTGTAAATGTGCCCAAGTGGGATCTGGTCTAGTGTGTGCCATGACATGGGAAAGACAGGCAGGCTCCTGTGGAGGAGAACCTGGGAGAAGATCCCAAGGAAGGACACTGGTGGGAACAGCAAAGAGGACAGCAGGTGGACAGGGGAATGGCCACTGAGGGGCAGCAAGAGGGGAGTATGTGGGCCTCTTGGGACTCACCCATCCACTGTTCTGTCCCATCCTTCAGATCAAGAAGGCCTTCTTTGCCCTGGTGGCCAATGGTGTGCGGGCAGCACCTCTGTGGGACAGCAAGAAGCAAAGTTTTGTGGGTGAGGAGAGGCTGGGGAGGGGGGGTGAGGAATGGCAAGGGCGCTGTGAGAGTGGCACCTTTAACCTCCCTCACACCCAAGGACAGAAAGCTTATGGTCCCCCCTGTGTCCCGCCTGCCTGTAGGGATGCTCACCATCACAGACTTCATCCTGGTGCTTCACAGATACTACAGGTCCCCCCTGGTAAGGAGCAGCAGGGAGCCCTGGGTGCCAGTAGTATTGGGGTGGAAGGGGGTCTTCAGGGAGCCTGGTGCCTGCCAAGTCCACATCTGAAACCAGAATCTTGTCGATGCCTCTAGGTCCAGATCTATGAGATTGAAGAACATAAAATCGAGACCTGGAGGGGTGAGTGGGGAGAGGGGCTGTGGGGTCGAGGGTGGGGCCCAGGACCTGGGGCAGAGGGAGGGCCAGCTCAGAGGGCTCTGGGTTCCTCCGTCTGGTTTCCTGCAGGGTGCAAGCGATAGGGAGCCTCAGGTGCCTGGGGAAAGAAAAGAGTCCAGCTGCAGGCGAGGCAGTAGCCACTCCCTCAGCCTCACTCTGGCTTTTTCTACAGAGATCTACCTTCAAGGCTGCTTCAAGCCTCTGGTCTCCATCTCTCCCAATGACAGGTAAGCATCCCCATCAACTACCTGAGCCCCTGTCTTGCCCTGTCCCTTCCCCTGACCCATCCTATGAAGCAGACAGACGAGACAACTTTGGTGCCCCATCCTCCTTCCTATCTGGGGGGACTGGAGTAGAAGGTGTCTCTTCCCACGCTGCTCCCCCTTCTCTGGTCTCACCTGTGCAGCCTGTTCGAAGCCGTCTATGTCCTCATTAAGAACCGGATCCATCGCCTTCCAGTCCTGGACCCTGTCTCTGGCACGGTGCTCTACATCCTCACACACAAGCGGCTGCTCAAGTTCCTGCACATTTTTGTGAGCCCAGGGCCAGGGGAGGCAGGGGGAGCCACAGGAAGGTGACCCAAGAGGCTAAGTCTTCAAGCCTGGACGTGGGAGACGGAGGAACCCAGAGCCCTCTTGGGCTGCTTGACCACTGATCATCACTCTGTCTCCACCCCACCAGGGTGCCCTGCTGCCCCGGCCCTCCTTCCTCTACCGCACTATCCAAGATTTGGGCATCGGCACATTCCGAGATTTGGCTGTGGTACTGGAAACGGCGCCTGTCCTTACCGCACTTGACATCTTCGTGGACCGGCGTGTGTCTGCCCTGCCTGTGATCAATGAATCTGGTATCTGCACTAGAGCAAGAGCAGGGTGGGGGGGACAACATGAGGTGGGGTGTGGGGTGGCAGGAGTCCATGTGGCACCAACTTGGGTGCCCAGGGTGGAGTGGGGTAGAAGTCACCTGCTTTGAGCCTTGGACCAGTCACTTAACTTTTCTTTGCTTCAGTTTCCTATCTGTGAAATGGCAATCTTAACAATATCCATACATCTGACTTCACAGGATTTACAAGATTAGTTGCAATAAAATCAGTATAGTGAGCTGAAACAGCAGGACCAATTTTTTTTTTTTTTTTTTTTTTTTTGGTCTCAGTTCATCTTAAAATGGGCCATGAGATCTTGGGCCCCCAGCCAGAGTCAATTTCCTGTTTTACAAAGGACCAGAGGGACAACAAGAATTCTTCTTTGGTTGGGTGTGGTGGTGCAGACCTGTAATCCCAGGGACTCAGGAGGCTGAGGCAGGAGGATTGTGAGTTCCCAGCTGACCTGGGCAATTTAGTGAGATCCTGTCTCAAAATCAAAAGGGCGGGGGATGTTGTTCAGTGATATAGTACCCCTGGATTCATTCCCCAGCACCGCCCCCCCCAAAAAAAATTCACCATAATAAAGCTAGATATCCAGAAGTGTTTGATTTGGTTTGGTTTCCCCTTCAGTACTGGGTTTGAACCAGAGGTGCTCCACTACTGAGCTGCATCCCCAGCCAGCCATTTTTATTATGTTTTGAGACAAGGTCTCTCTAAGTTACCAAGGCTGGCCTTGAACTTGTTATCCTCCTGCCTCAGCTTCCTCAGTTGCTGGGATTACAGGTGTATGCCATCGTGCCTCTCAAGAACTACTTTTAATTTATTTTTGACTTGGAAAAATTTCAAATAAATTTTTAAAAATTGTATAATTAGGGCCTGGGGCTGTGGCTCAGCAGTAGAGTGCTCACCTAGCGCATTGGAGGCCCTGGGTTCGATCCTCAGCACCACATACAAATAAATAGATAAAATAAAGGTATTGTGTCCAACTACAACTAAAAAATAATTATTAAAAAAAGAAAAAATTGGGCTGGGGATGTGGCTCAAGCGGTAGCGCGCTCCCCTGGCATGCAAGCGGCCCGGGTTCGATCCTCAGCACCACATACAAACAAAGATGTTGTGTCCCCCGATAAATTAAAAAATAAATATTAAAAAAAATTCTCAAAAAAAAAGAAAGGTTTTTTTAAAAAAAGAAAAAATTGTATAATGAACCTCATGTATATGTTGCCTGGATTAACTATTGTTAATGTATTGCCATAATCAGTTCATCTTTTTTTCTAAAGCATTTTAAATTACAGACAATATTATGTCTCTGAGTATAATTTTCTACCCTAACAGAACCAGGAATGATTTACTAATGTTATATCTAATGCTCAATACTTATTCTCATTTTGCAATTTCTCCCAAGATTTTTTTTTTCTTTTATAATTGATTTGTTCAAACCAGTATCCAACTAAAGGTCCAGATTTTGCATTTCTGTCTTTTGTCCCTTAAGTCTCTTTACATCTAGAACTGTTCCCTTTCCCCTGACTGTTTGACGCAGGTGAGTTGAAGAGCCTGAATGGGTTATCCAGAGAATATTCCTCTCCAGATTTGTCCATTTGCTTCCTAGAGGTGGATTTCACCTTATTCTCTGCTTTAGTTTCCTGGAAACCTGATGAGTTGGCCCTACATGTTGGGGACTAGAATACTCACTTCATAGGTGATGCACTGTTCTCGTATTGCATCTCTTCAGGGGGCAGGAGATGAGGTGGTCTCACTTTCTGTGATGCCAGGCTGACTCATGACTCAGAGGGAGCAGCCTGATGCCTCATTATAAAGCTGCAACCTGGGAGGATATGGAGGAGTCCACTCCAAGACCTGGCCCAGGCCCTCTGCACAGCACCTGGTCCTGATGCGGCCCTCTTCCCTGTCTTTCTCCTCTCTCCCCTTGTAGGTCAGGTCGTGGGCCTCTACTCCCGCTTTGATGTGATTGTAAGTGTCTCTGGGGCTTGGGGTGCCTTAGGGAGGCTGTGGTATGAGGATGGATGGGGGAGTATCTGTGGACACACTTCACGAGTGTGTAAGGGGTGCTGTCAAGTGAGGTGGGAGTCTGAGCAAAGCGGTGACTTGCAACTCTGTTTCTCTCCCTGCCCCAGCATTTGGCTGCCCAGAAAACCTACAACCACCTAGACATGAGTGTGGGAGAAGCCCTGCGACAGAGGACACTGTGTCTGGAGGGGGTTCTTTCCTGCCAGCCCCACGAGAGCCTGGGAGAAGTCATTGACAGGATTGCTCGAGAACAGGTACCCTGTGCCTCTCCAGGAATGCCCCCATAGAGATGGCCCAGTTCTTCCATGTTGGCTCCAGCCATCCCTGGACAGTGGACACCTGGCCTGTCCTCCTATTTCGAGACCAATTCTTGGCATTCACCTTGGTATGCACCTGGTCCTGTCTATGAGGTTCTCTTGCCAAGGGCCAGTCAACTGAGTGCTCAGAGACATTGCCAGCTGGTTCCCAGGAGACACCCTCTTGTCCCCCCAGCTATGTCAAACTATTTCCCCTGCTTGTTTGGGATGGGGTGGGGTGGGGCCTGGTTAGTCACTGAACAATGTGACCCACAGGTACACCGGCTGGTGCTAGTAGACGAGACCCAGCATCTCCTGGGCGTGGTCTCCCTCTCCGACATCCTTCAGGCGCTGGTGCTGAGCCCTGCTGGCATTGATGCCCTCGGTGCCTGAGAATACGAGTCCTCACTCCTATCCCCTCACCTTCCATACCCTGAAGACAAGGAAAGGAGCAGGGGACCCAGATTTCATCTTTCCCCATCTGTTTGCCAAGTCAGCTCTGTTCCAGGTAGGCTTTGCCCCCGGCCCTTGGATCAGCCCCTATAACTTTTTAGTTTCCTAGATCTCAGACTGGGGCACCATGAAGATAGCAATGGCCCCTCTCATAGCTGAGCAGAACCCCTGGAGGGAAGCAAGCTAATAAACCTTTGTCAAATGGAATTTCTATCCTCAGTAAGAACTAAGTTCCCTTAAAGTAGGGTGCTTACACCTAGTGCTCACCTTGGTAAATTTGTTGTGATCACAGACTCTTTCCCCGTAACATTTGCTAGAGGTTTGCAGAGGGATGGGGGACAGTTTTCACCTATTGACAGTGGATGGCACAACCCTCCTATTGGGAAGACAACTCCCCTCCCTATTTGGTCACTGTCTTCCCTTCTCTCTTCCTCACAGGCTTCTCCAGCCTCCCTGGTTGTCCTTGCCCTGTCTATACTCCCCAAAGTTCTTGGGCATGCCCAGTGCACTGTGGGATGATGAAATTAAGGAGAACAACTGAGTCAAGGCTGGAGGTCCCTGAAGCACAGGCACTGGGACTAACCCAGGGCCACCTGTGCCCCCATATGCACTCATATCCCTTTCCCCTACCTGGATCGGGGCTGGTTGGGATGTGGTAGTGAGCCGGTAGCCGCAGGCTTATTCAAGGGCTCTGGATTCCTGGGCTTCTGGACTGTGTTTGGCTCGCTCCTGGGAGACCCAACTGTTCTTTCCCCATGGGGACCACTTTAGTGGTTCCCTATAACTTTGTCGCTGCCCTTCTACCCTCCTGGCGTGGTCATTTCAGGGCTGCTAGGGTCACAATGGAACAGCAGTTACTTGTAGAACTGTCTGATGGTGTGGGGTCTTCTCTCCATGGTAGTCCAGAAAATGCCTTCTCTCTCATCAGTGACAGATGGCCTTGTATTTGGATCCCTGAAAATGAGCAATCAAAAAGACAAATGCAAAAAGAACAAGCCATGACTTGGATTTTTATAGATTCCACTCAAAACGCTAGTTGTTTAACCGAACTTACGGCTTTCTGAAGATCCTTCTGCTTGCTGAATGTAAGACTTGGAGGAAAAGTCTACGATTGACAAAAGCAGCAAGTGGCATTTCTTTTGTGCATAGAATGTTATTCCACTGACTTTTAAAAAAATCTTTTCTTTATAACAAAAATCATAAAATATTTATTAATTTACTACATGGTAGGTAAAACCCAGTCTATAAAACTTGAGCTTGCAAGAAATAGCTATTTTTCTAACACTGAATGCAATTTCTATTATGAACCCCATACCAGGTGGTGGAAATTGATCTAGTCAATTTGGAGTCTCT